GACTGCTGCTGCATACTCTGCTAGGGGTTTATCCCCAAACACTAACACACACTTTAACTAACAAACCATGATACCATATTTATTACTTTTACCCAAACCAGTTAGGGTAAACAATGTTATCCCTAACAGAACTAAAACACAGGGTTATTTTAGAAGACATTATATACGGGAGTCTTTGTGGTTAAACTGGGAGAAAATAAAAAGACAATGTTATTTGAAAATTCCAGTTTGGTTATCGACTATTGAAGCATTTTCCTATCCTATAATTTATAAGAAGGAACAAACAGTTAGATATGGGGAACTATTGGATGAAAAGGGTGAACTTAAATCGATACAAAATTTAGAGGAACAAGGTATAAAGATGAATTGGTTTTCATATGCGCAAATACATTCAAGGTTTGATGAAGATTCTAAAACAGAGGGATTCTATGATAAACAGAGTGATCTAGATAAGATCTTGATGGGTACTGATGAGAAGGTGATTAAAAAATTATATGGTTATTTACTGGGATTTAAATTAGAAGAAGAACAAGTTAAAGAAACTATGATTGTTTGGGGGAAGAATTTTGGATATGGGATTGATTTAGAGAAATGGCAAAAATTGTGGTCTCAAAATTATAAAATGACAATGTCAACAGCATATAAGGAAAATTTGTATAAGATGTTTTACAGGTGGCACTTTCCCCCGACAAGAATAGCAAGAATGTTCAAGAACAAATCTGAAAAATGCTGGAAATGTCATCAGATACCTGGCTCATATTACCATATGTGGTGGACTTGTGAGGACGCTAAAAAATATTGGACTAAAATTCGCATGTGGTTGGAAAAAATGACAAAGAAACGTATAGATTTGAAACCGGAGTTCTTTTTATTGGGAATCTTACCAGATACATATAGTAAAGATTTGAAATATTTGATTGTAAATGTGTTAACAGCGGCTAGGATTGTATTTGCTAAAAACTGGAAAAATGAGAAAATACCATCACAGGAAGAAATTATTAAGAAAATATTGGAATGTGCTGAGATGAGTAGATTGACATTTGAAATTAGAGAGCAAGAGGATAAACAATTTTATGAAATTTGGGATCTTTTTTATCAGTGGCTAGATGACAAAATATGATAATAGAATATTTAGAAAGTTAGATAGTAAGGAATGCCTTTATTTTTTTCTTTTGCCTATGTTATTTGACATTATATCTATAAAGTGTTTTTTAGGATAGATTTGGTATGATTGTATGATTTGTTATAGAATAAACTATTTAAAGTATTGTTATCTCATAAAGCATGAATGATTAAAAGTATAGTCAAATGATTTATTAATAGCGATATTAGGATATATAAGTTTGGATTGACAATATGAGTTGTTATGTAATATAATTGTAATTGAGACTACGAAATGAATGCACAAAACTGATGAACCAACCGACACACTGTACGTACATAAGAGAGTTGATGTTTTAATGTTTTGTTTGTCTTGTTTGTTTGTAGAAAATCAATAAAATTGTTTTTAAAAAATAATAATAATAATTCTGCCAGGCTGGGGGGCAGGGCCAGCTGCCGAGCTGTCCGGATGTGCAAAGCGGCTCTCCATTAGCAGAGCCATTTCCTGCCCATTTGATCAGCTCCACAAGGGGTTTTTCTGGACCTGCGATCTCTTGGAGGGGGTTCAGAAGGGAAGGACGTTAAGTGGAGCAAGTTTTAGGCGTCAGTCAAAACTTGAAAGCTGAGGAGGTCCGGGCGATCGAGGGAAGGAGGAAAGCGGCCAGCAATGGACAGCTGGACAATGGAAGCGGTGAAGAAGCAGAACAATGGTGCAACTGGAACTGGCAAAAAGGAACCTTGACAAGAAACATGAGTGACTCTGGGGAAAAGAACTTCTGGAAAGAGTTCCCAAGGAATAAAGAAGAGGGAAAACCTAGGGATAAAGAGGGGGGAGATGCCCTTCCCCCTCTTAGATAGTGGCAAAGGAGATCATGGGGGAGACTAGGAATCCCAACTAAAATCAATTAAGAATAAAAGAACTGCACATCTAAAGGCGAGACTGTGATAATCCAAGAGAGGCTGGCTGAAGTCTTCTTTTTCTATCTTTGGAAAGACTTTGTGAAGGACCTTGGTAATAATTCTTATCAAGAGGCTGACAGGCATGGCTGCCTGACAGTGACAGAGCAGTTTTGGCATGGACTCCATGATAGAAGAAGTATGAGAGAGATATTTGCTGACTATTAGCTAACTCATCTGCAAAATGCCTTATTGGGAAAAAAACACCTGAGAACTGAATATTGAATATTACCTACATTGTGGGACTCTTATTGTTTAAAAACTATTTGGAAGAAGAAATCAAGACTCTATAGCAGTGACAACTGAGAAAGAAGAAAAGAAATACAGAAGAATAATGTTAGAACTTTTGGTATATTGGATATATCTCTGACATATTACTATTATTATCGTTAAGCTACAACATATTATTCATTATTTTTATTATTAATACTACTGTTATTGGTATTACTACTACAATAGAACAAAAAAGAATAGAAATAGAAAGGGCGTTGGTACTTACCTGATACGCCCGTTCTCTGTGAGCTGCAACAAGCATCCAGTCATGGGAGGTGCTTAGTCTCTGCTTGGATAGGCTGGGCTTAATAGATAGGATGCTCCTCCTCCTCCATGGGCTCCTCCTTAGCATCCCCCAGTTTTGGTGAAGATGAAGTGATGTAACCCTCGCCCTTTCTACCTTGGAAAAAGGTTGGCCGGAACAGGATCCTACCAGATGGAAATTGGGTGGGGCTGGATGCTTGTCGCAGCTCACAGAGAACGGGCGTATCAGGTAAGTACCAACGCCCTTTCTCCAATGAGCTGCTCTGAGCATCCAGTAGTGGGACATACCAAAGCTTGGCTTGTCCTATGGGAGGGTCTCCGTCTGGAGTGGATTCCCCCCACAGGCCGTGTAGACCTGTTGTAAAACTCTCCTACCAAAGAGGCCTCAGCAGAGGCAAAGGCATCAATTTTGTAATGTTTAATAAAGGGTGATGGGGAGGCCCATGTTGCCACCCAACATATTTCTGATATTGGCACTTGTGTGGCCCACGCCGCTGAAGTTGCAGCGCTCCTGGTTGACTGCACTGTTATGCCCTTAGGTACTGGTAATGATTGAGTCTCGTACGCCTTAGCGATTGCTGCTTTCAGCCACCTGCCTACAGTTGAAGGTGAGACTTTATGTCCCTGAGTGGTTGGCTGAAAGGAAACAAAAAGAGCCTCCATCTTCTGGAATGGAGCCGTTCGGTTTAAGTACGTACGGAGAGCCCTCCTTACACCTATTCGATGCCATTGACATTCTTGCCCATGAGATGTTCTCGGGCAAAAATTCGGGAATATAAGTTCTTGTGCCCTGTGGAAAGCCGAATTAATTTTTGGGATGAACGTCGGGTCTGGACAAAGAACCACTCTGTCAGAATGAAAAATACAGAGGTCTTGTCGTGTTGATAAAGCTGCTAGTTCCGAGATACGACGCATAGATGTTATTGCTACCAGGAAAACTACCTTGTATGTGAGAAAGTGGAGATTCGTAGTTTTTAGTGGTTTGAAGGGGCCCATCGTGAGGGCTTGGAGGACCTTGTTAAGGTCCCAGGATGGGTAACGGTGCACCACCAGAGGGCGTAAATTCGTGGCGCCCCGAATAAAACTCCGTATGCATGGGTGGTGTGAGATAGATCGTAGACCTTTCCAGGTCACGACTGAAGCAAGGGCTGCCACCTGCCAACTCAAGGTGTTCGGTGAGAGACCCTTGTCGAGACCCTCTTGAAGGAAATCCAAGACTTGTGGCGCTGATGGAGAGATGGGGTCAATGTTAGATTTAACGCACCATTTATAGAAAATGTTCCATGTGCCATTGTATATGCGGTTTGTTGAAGGGCGTCAGGCCGCTTGGATGGTAGTGATTACTCTGAGAGATTTTCGCTTGTCAGATGTCTCCGCTCAACTTCCATAAGGCTAGGTGGAGCCATTGAGGGTCCGGGTGTTGAATCGGACCCTTGGTGAGAGAAACTCTGTGCGGCGGAATCCTCCAAGGTTCTTCTGCGAACAGACTCCTGAGATCCATGAACCATGGCCTCCTGGGCCAGTATGGGGCCACCAACAACAACTCTGCTTTTTCTTCCAAAAGTTTTTGGACCACCCTGGGAATCACTGGGAGAGGGGGAAAGGCATACAGAAGTCCTGGGGGCCACCGGCAGCATAGAACATTGATGTTCTCCGCTCCCTGAGCTGCGTACCTTGAGATGAACCTCGGGAGCTGCGAGTTCAGGGGAGAAGCAAATAGATCTATGACCGGTTGACCGAATCTCTGTACCGCTTCCTGAAATAGACTTGGGTGCAGGCGCCACTCTCATTGATTGACTGTGGCCCTGCTCAACCAGTCTGCCTGGGTGTTTGACAAGCCTGAGGTGTGCTCTGCCCTGATGGAGAGCAAGTTCCTTTCTGCCCAAAGGCACAGTCTCTCCACTTTCCTCATGAGTTGTCTCAAGTGGGTACCCCCTTGCCTGTTTATATGGGCCTTTGTGGTGATGTTGTCGGTAAGTATGAGGATGTTCTTTGCCTGAATATGTGGAAGGAAACTGTGAAGAGCCAGATGGACTGCCCTGAGCTCCAACCAGATTATGCTGCACGATTGTTCTGCTGCTGACCAATGCCCTGGAGCCGTGAGGGACTGAAAGTGTGCTCCCCATTCAAACAGGCTGGCATCTGTCATGATGGTGAGTCTGTGGGGTTCTTTGAAGGTGCAACTTTTGTTGATGGTTGGAACAGTCCACCAGTGCAGGGATATCAGGACCTTGGACGGTACAATGACACGGACCTTGGAGTTGCTTCGTCCCAACTGTTGGTATGGAAGTAGGTATCATTGTAGGGATCTGGTGTGGAACCGGGCCCAAGGGATAATAGAGATACAGGAGATCATTTTCCCCAATAATTTAGACAAGTTGGCAAGGGGAACCTGCTTAAGGGTTCTGATCTCCTGAGCTAATTTTCTAATGTTCTCCTGTCTCTCTGGGGATAAGAAAGCCTTCCCTTTTACTGTATCTATTATGGTGCCCAGGTGAGTTAAACAAGTTGATGGAGACAAATGGCTCTTTGCCCAATTAATGGAAAAAATGTGTTGTTGGAGGGTTTGTAAGGTAATTTGAGTTTCCATTTCTGCCTGTCTGGATGACGATGACAAAAGCAAAATGCCATCCAGGTAGCACTGCAGTCTAACAGGTGTACCCCTGAGATGGGCAGCCAGAGCTGCAAGAACCTTAGTAAATGTTCTTGGAGCAGATGATAAACCAAAAGGTAGGGTGACGTACTCAAAATATTGATTATTATAACAAAATCTGAGGAATTTGCTGTGTGGGGGTCTAATTGGAATGTATAAATAGGCCTCTGTTAACTCAATGGAAGTTAAAAAATCGCCCTGTCTTATGCTAAGCAGAATGGATTGCAATGTAGTCATCTTAAACCTTCGATACACCAAGGAACGATTAAGTCGTTTTAAATCTAAAATTGCCCTCCACCCCCCCGAACTCTTCCAGACGACAAAGAGTAGCGAGTAGAAACCTTGCTGTTGCTGATCTGGAGCCACAGGTTGGATGGCACGGATCTCCAGTAGGTGTCTGATAGCTGTTTCCATCAGACTCCTTTTAACCAGGTTCCTGGAGAGAGGCCACGTCATGAAAAAGTTTGGGGGTGTGGATTGGAATTCTAGAGCCAGGCCGAATCTAACGATGTCTCTAACCCAGGAATCTGAGGTAGAGGAATCCCAACGGTCTGCAAAGAGTTTCAGTTATCCTCCAATGGGAGCATAATCTCTGATCTATTTTGGACAGTGGAAGCCTCTGGTTCCTGTCCCATGGAACGGCCTTTTACCTTGCCCTCCCCTTCAGTTTCTGTCTCCAAAGTCCAATCTTTCTGACTGCTGGCCACCCCTAAAACCAGATGCCCTCTGGAATCTTGGAGAATATTGTCCCTGATAGAAGGGATGAAAGAAGCCTCTCCAAAAGGGCTGGGAGTTTCTGTTATCTGGTTGACAAAAAAGGGAGGGGAGTATCTTTTTCTTACTTCTGGTTTCTATCAGAAGAGGATCCAGGATGGCGTCAAACAATTTGTCTCCCAAAATTGGGGAAGAGGCAAGCTTCCATTTGTGCTTAGTATCAGCTTGCCAATGTCTAATCCATAATAATTGGTGAGCTGTAACCTGTGATGCTATGGCTCGTGCTGAAAATTTGACAGCATTGAATGTTGTGTCTGCAGAGAATTCTGTGGCTGCTATTAGTTTGGCGATGTCTTGATGCGCCCTGATGTTGGAATTTGGTATGGTTTCCCTCAGGTGATGGAGCCATCTGAGGGAAGATCTAGTGAAAAAAGATGCAGACGTTGCCGCCCTTATGGCCCACACATCTGACTGATGCGTCTTGCGAAGAGCTAACTCAGCCCTTTTTTCTTCTGATTTGAGTGCCTCCTCTGCTTCGTTGGGAACCGCGGAGGAGGATGCTAAGGCTACAACTGGATCATCTACCTCTGGGGTATTAAGGGAGTTGGAAAATTCTGGTGCAAAATTGAAAATTTTTCTGTCATATCCTGTGGGGTTGGGGTATGCTGCTGCCGAAGCCCATTGTTTCTGGACCAGATCCGAAAACATCTGCAGAACTGGGCTAACGTCCACTTCAGTAATTGGTTGGGAGAAAATCAAATCCTCTGACTCCCCTTGTGATCCTGATTTTTGGGCAGAGGGGGGAGATTTATCAAGGTGCGCGGTGTTTTTGGCCTTGAAGAGCAGTGATTTAAATAGTTGAGGAAGGAACAGCCCCATAAAGGTCAGTTGGTCGGGCATGAGGCCTTCATTATCTGACATGCCTCTTTCAAGGGGGTCTGCCTCCAACAGGACTGGGTCACTGTCGTGTACTGAGCCTGCCTCGACTTGTTCCATCTGGTCCTCTTGTTCTCCCTCCTCCTGCAAGTCATGCACATGTATACGTGAAATCATAGAAAAAACGCCCCTTGGGGAGGTACCTGAGGGTAATGCAGATCCGTTCTGCATAGTGACCGTACAGATTGTGAGTCGCATTCAGAAACTGGAATCTGCCTGGCCAGCACAGTTTGCTGCACCCCCGCAGCAAATTACTAGCTCCATCCATGCTTTCGTTTAGCGAATCGCTAGCTCCATCCATGCTTTCATTCTCTCTGGGACCTCCTCTGGAAGGAACTCCTCTTGGCGGAGTCCCGCTGCCATTGGAGTAAAGGTGGCCTCGGGGGCCTTCAGGTGCACTTGATGAGGGACCATGCTGGGCCGGTCCAGTGTTAGCCTGCCTGGATGGCATAGACAAGTCCAGGGGTGAAGGAGTGTCTTGAACTTGAGCTGGCCTAGTTGGAGAAGACGGCTGGGAATTCTTTTCAGCCTCCCTCATGCATTTTTTCATGTGTTTCTCTAATGCCTTTTGGTGTCTATTGGCATCTTTTTCTTCAGCCTTTGAAGGACCCTTAGTATGTTTTGTTTTGTCTTGAGTCCATGCCTTAGTGCTATTTCTGCTTGCCATTATGACCCTTTTAATTGTGTTAAACCTACAAGGCTATGTGTATGTTGGACAGTTGGCACATCCAGGGTCCTGCTCCAAAGACAGGGCAGGGAACCCTATTAACTCCCCATGTTGATTTCT